CCACGCGATGCTTCGTCCTCTCTTCACCAGTCACGCCACTCACCTGCCCTCCGCAACTCCACAGTGGACGCCCGTTGTTATAAATTCCCGTTCAAGGGACCGTCTCTCTATCCTCGGTCTCGGCCGCCTTACCCATCTGAGCCTTCACAAGCACGAGTATCAAGCGGAAGCACACGCTATCCCCCTGTCGTCACCTTCCAAGACTCTTCCTCCATCCACACCCCAGTGGACCGTCTTCTCGCCGGCTGTCTAGCACGAGACGCTACTTTTCCCGAAATCCTATCGACGCCCACTACCTCCAGCTGCTCCAGCTCCAGCTCGCCCGTCTACATAAACATGGAGGACCCCGTTGCCAGAACAGCTTCTCCCTATTCTGACCCAACCAACAAAGGCCCCAAATCCCAAGCCCAAGCCTCTCACCAGTCAGATCTTCGCAAAAGTGAGTCTCACACTCCCTCTGTCTATTCCTGTCATACTCCTCCTCCCCCGGCTTCATAGCTAACCAGACATGAAGTGGTTTACTCAAACGTCAACAAGACTCCTCTTCACCCCGGCGGTGTTGCTCCCCACCAGGAGCACACTGAGCTCGAGGAGGAGCTTCACGAGACTGCCCACATCGACTATGACCGCGTCGCCATTGTTCCCAACGCCTCTGTTCCTGCCCTCTACGAAGATGCTCTCGTGTACGAGACCGGTTCCGCCATCACATCCAGCGGTGCTTTGACTGCCTACTCCGGCAAGAAGACCGGCCGCTCACCACTGGACAAGCGTATCGTTGAGGAGCCTTCCTCGAAAGACGATATTTGGTACGTTCATGTTAGCCCATTTGGGCGCCAAACAATCACACTTCCGTCATGTTGGCTAACATCAAATGTTCAGGTGGGGACCTGTCAACAAGCCTATGACACCTGAGGTAAGAAAAGACAAGGGACGACAAAAAGACCCCGTGACCTCGAGTCATGGGCAGTCTTTCATTTAGCCCGATTTTCCTCAGCCCCTCTAGACCACCCCCCCCCAAGCCCAAAATGACACAGACACGAGCACATGCACATGCAAGCCCCGAGTCCGGGGAAAGTAGGCTTGCCAGGTTCGGATGCCTTTGCCCTGCATTCGGCAATTCCAGACTTCGGATGTCTCACGAGACGCTCCAGCAAGCTTTCCTCGGAATCGTCCCATTTCCTTCCTTGCAGCGCATTTACGCGGTGCATTATGCACACGCAAATTCGCAGGCAGCACTTTGGTCGTCAAACGTCATGGTCTATGACCATTACAGCACCATGACAATCCCCTCCTCACATGACTCCGTCACCTCCGTTTGTCCGCTGGCTCCGCGATCAAGATCTGGAAGTTCTAGATGGCGATTGCGGATGGCCGCGGGCCCAAAAGTCTTGGGTTGCGACTGCGTGTCGTCATTCCATTGATCTCCTCCATGATTTGTTTCCCCCAAGACGCGGATCCCGATGGGTTGCTCCTTGGGTTCTTGGCGTTCGCTCTGTCCCCGCACATGCAGCCGAAGCGAACGCCTAGGAACTCAGTGGGGTCCGCGGCTGCGCACTGCCAATGCATCTTGCCCCGCAAATGCCCGCCCCTGACCTCTTCTCCCCTGCCGCTTCGCCTGTCCCGACTGTACCCGTACCCACGATCGCTGAACTCATCAAACTGACTGGGCGTTTCACTACAGGTCTGGAAGATCAACCGCGAACGTGCTGTCGACTACCTGAACACGAGGAATCGCATCTACGTTGTCGACGCTTTCGCCGGCTGGGATGAGAAGTACCGCATCCGCGTCCGTGGTCATCTGTGCTCGTGCCTACATGCCCTCTTCATGAGGAACATGCTCTCCCGCCCTCGCGAGAGGA